TCAATTATGTACCAGCTGATTGATCTGTTTGTACTCCCAGCGATCATTCATGGAATGTCTTTTTTGTGTACAATACAGTCTGTGTATTGGTTCATCTTCCTGCTGGCTGTATCATTTTTGTTGGGCCTGGTCACTGGCAGAACAGGAAGAAAGCACCATCCCAGCGGGAGCAGGGAGGATCAGGCTGCAGAACAAGGCTCCCATAAGGCTGGTTTCTGGATCTGGTCCTTGCTCTGGTATCCTGCCTGTCCATGTCTCACCTGGACTTGGTGGGACGTGGCTCATGGAGCTCTGACCCCCTTGCTGCTCCCAAGTCATGGATGCAGCACACCACCCAGCTAGTGCACAGGGCAGGAGGGACAAGAGGACTAGTACCAGCAGCAACCTAGTTTCTTTATTTATCCCGGTGCCAGCAGATGAAATCTTGCAAGAAGATCCAAAATCTCCCCTGAATAAACCTCAGTCCTGAAAGGATCCACCCACCGCCTTCTGGCCAGGGAAGCGGAGCCGCCACCGGGCCCCAGTTTGCTGCCGAGCCACCACAGACTGGGGAGAAATGCCACCCAGGGACACCAAATGCTGCCTTCCTAGAGTTCCTACTACATGGAGAAGTTTGTTCCCCTCTGTCTTGATTGCACCCTACATCTCTAGGGTGGCATAAAGACCCGTCTCTACTCTGAAGGACGTGAGGGATGGCTGTGGACACACCAGGAGGAGGACCAGGAGCATCCAACTTACTGGGAATGCCTGAGACGAGCTTCAGAGGTCTGAGCACGCGCACGGCCCGCAGCGTCCGCAGGTCCACGTGGGTGTTGAAGTGCGTCCCAGCAGTGGCAAGGATGCTGCATGCAGACAGGGAGAGAGCAGAGTTATTGTGGGCAAAGCCCTTGGCCACCCTGGTGCCAAGAGCCATGTCCTCACACCAGGCTGGGGGAAGCCGTGAGGAAGATTGTGTCCCTGCGCAGGTACAGCGATTCAATGCCTCCCAAGCCCCACATGTTAGTGAGCCCTCTTTGATGCTGACATCAAAGCTCACAAGCCACTGTGGTCAGCTAAAGCCAGCCAGGGGCCACCCAGCCCTGGCAGCCCGCCATCAATGTCCCCGTGCTGGGGACAGGTCCATGCCACAGTGCTGGCCATCACCCACTCCATGCAATGGCAGTCCAGGGTCTCAACACTGTTGACATCGTGCTCATGACAGCTGCATGGGTTTAACCTCCCTCCCAGGCAGGTGGCACGTGGACCAGAAATGGCTCTCCAGAGACAGGGGTCACGCCACTGATGGTCACCCATGCTTCCCTGGCAGCTCCCCAGCCATCAGCTCCACTGGCTTTTTCCACACATGAAGCTTCCTTAGAGTCTCACCTCTGGGACTGACGAGAAGGAGCAGAGAGCCTCACGCACATTCAAAAATCTATAGTAATGAAACTTTGATGACCTTGGAAGGCAACCGGCAGGCACAGAAAAGACTCCAGAGGTTTTCTTTTAAAACACAAAGGTTTTTTTTCATGCCCATCTCTGGAAAAACAAATTAGGGCAGAAGGGAGCCGGTGCATGCCAAATCCAGCAGTGGAAATACTCAGGGTCCCTGTGCTTGCTGGGGGGATGGGGATGGTGTGGCTTGGGAATGCTGGTAGAGCCATGGGAGCACAGACAGGGGCACAAGAGCTCATGGCCTCCTCTCCCAGCTGGGCTCAGTCCTCAGTGTGCTGGGCAAGGAGAAGGGAGGGCTGCAGTGGAGGAACAGGGGATGGGAGAGGAGGAGAGCAGGACAGAGGGAGGCAGCAACCTCAGGGTTGTTTGTAGCAATCCAAAAAACGAGGAAAATTGGGTCATTGTTCCAGTAATTTGTCTAATTACAGGCCAGAGCAGCTCTCTGGCGTGCTGAACAATTAGCACTCTTTCTCTCCCCCTCTCCCTGAGGTACAGCAGGTATCAACCTGCCCCTCCAGAAAGGCAGATGGGTTTCCTAGGATACTCCAGCAGCAGAAACACTCTCACATCAGCAGACCAGGTTGTTTCAACTCCTTTTCCTAGCCTCCTCTTCCCCCCTTCTCCAGCACCAGGGAACAGGTGCAAAGCCTGGCCTGAGCAGCAGTTGGGATGTATTGCCCCAGCATCACCTAAAAATCCCCAATATCAGGCTGCTTAGCCCAAATATACACAGGGTTCTTTTACCCTCAGTGGCACTTCCCCTTTCCCTGATCCCCCTTTGGCATGGTCCCCGTGTCCCAGCCCGTGACCAGCCCCCGCTACCCGTGGGGCTGATGGTAGAACAAAAAAGGAACTTAATTAAGTCAGGAGTACCCAGAGGCTGGGGAGAGCTGCGCTCTTAAATTGGTTGTAAGATCAAAATCAATAAGTATGATAAAGCATGGCCACTCAGCAGCACGTGGGAGAGAGAAGAGCACAGGCACTTTCATCTCTTTCATGCAACCTGCCAGCAGGAGCTGGGTAATCCAGAGCTGCCCAAAACACCAGCATAGAGGACGCTCTGTGCCCAGCTGGGGACACTGAGACACTCCTTCAGCTTTTGCTCCTCATGCCCCTATGCCTGGTGTCCAACCAGCCTCCCAAAGGGATGGGGCAAAGGCATTTGCAGTTCCTGTGCTGACTCCAGGCAGGGTTAAGCATCGCCAGGAGACTAGGGATGCTCCTCGGCTGGACCATGGGCTCCAGCCCTTCTCCCAGGGGCTCACTGACACGAGCCAAATGCCATGAAAAGCCCAGCTAGAAGACTGCTGGCAGCAGAGCAGGGTCCATGGCTATCTCCTACCACCATAGAGGCAGGCAAAGTGGTGGAAGGTGGGGCAGTCACTGCTCCCAGTCCCACTGCACATGCCCTCCCTGGGGCAGGACCAACTATCAGCTACCCATGGGAGCAGAGGGGAGCAAAGCACCCTGGCTGCAAAGTCTTCCTCTAACCCAGATTTGTTTGAAGGGCTCGAGAGCTGCCATGCTGAGCCTTCAGGCGAGGTTCAGGTGATTTCAGGGCACTCCTTCCCAGTGCTCCAAATTAGCTGCTAAGAATGGGACTCCTCTGTGGCAAGAAGACATGCTCCTTGTCCTCACTAGGGGACAAAGGACATCACAAGTTCTTTCAGAAGGGTGTTTGGACAGATCAGTAGAACGAGGTGGTGGCACTGCAGACCTGTCTCCTGACCAACAAGGGAAAGGTGACCCACTGCTACAAAATAGGTGCCTGCACATCCTTTTGTGGGCACAGACACAGATGCCAGTGAGGGGGCACACTGCTGGAGCTGCTTCTGGCCAACCCACCCACTCCAGAGCCTCCGAGCAGGGTCTGAGCAGCCCTGGACCACCTTTAAACCAATTAAGGTGGCTGGAAAAAAAAACAAGCAAGCTTCTAAGCATGCAAGGATGGCTTCTGTCTGCCTTTCCCAAGCCCTTCAGTGGCTCTAAATAACAGACATCACCTCTCCCTGATAGCTAGGCTTTGCTAGTACACACAGCCCCCAGTACCACGTTACTGCTAAGAATAAATACAACACTCAAAACACACCCTCCTGCTTCAGACTTCAGCATCTCACCTGTTAATTACTTATTAACCACCTAAGCATGTCTTTTTTTTTTTTTTTTCCTTCTTTCTCAGAGAGCCACTCATCACCCAGCACAACCTATTTCTGATTTATTTATTGGCACACGTTAGGGTTTTGTATAGCTCCTCAGGATGCACGGCGCAGAGATGGGACTTGGGCTGTGAGAGACCTTTAAAAGGTGCTGATACAGGATGGCAGCTCCGGTATCTGTAGAACAATTTAAACCCTTTTTGAACAGGATGGCAGCTCCGGTATCTGTAGAACAATTTAAACCCTTTTTGAACACTTACAATATCCACGTCTGATGTGCTAATAATTATTCTTTATTTTTAGGCAAGGACCCAAACTAAAATTACATCTCACCATCCAAGTTATCTGAAAAAGCTGCCAGATTGAGCTATAAAAATCCCAATGATCTCATGCTTTTCATCATATGTACTGGAGGGGAAAAAAAAAAAAAAAAAAGAAGAGAAAAAAAAGTGAAGGCGTTTTATAGGTCACCCAGGCAAAGGGGTTAGTTTTACTTCTTCAGAGTAAAGGGGGAAGAGATACTTTAGGTGGAGAAACGAGCAGAGAGGAGAAGGATGCAAATAAGAGAGGAGGCAGGATGAGAAATACATGCTAATCCCTGAAGTATAATTGAATAGTGAGCAATCACTGGCAGACAAAAACATGCTTTCAGGGAAAAAAAAATTCAATTCTTTGTGTTTGCAACCAAGATGATTATTTTATTTATTCCATGGCTCCAGAGCAAAGGGCGAGCTCCCGCCAGGCCAGCCACACCTGGGGGCTCTGAGGCTGGCTGCAGGTGGAGCAATGCTCAGCCCTCAGGCATTGCTCCAGCTCCCAGAGCCCAGCAAAGCACACACCCTCGCCTCCAGCCAGACCTGCACCTAAGGATTGCTTTTCTCCAGGGGGGAAGAAAGTAAAACTAAAGAAGAACCACATTTAAAATTACTCTCTGCTCTTTGGGACTGGGCAGAATAAACCCTGAGCGATGCTGCGTGACCCTGCCTGCACAAAGCCCTTTTACTAGCACAGATCTGGCACCAAATTCAGGCACTATTGCATACTACAACACCCACCCTGCCTTCGCCGCCCACGCCAGGGGCTGTATGTACATCACCCCCACCTCCATCACCCCACTGGGAGCAGCACCAGCAGTCCTGAAGCCTCAGTCCTTGGGGACAGCCCATATGGCTCAGGACATGCTGCAAAACGTTTCATAACAGGGACCCCAAGCAAATGCTGAACCCCTAAATAATCAAATCGACCCTTGATTCATCCCACACACACCCCAAACTGAGCATCTCTCAACCATCTCCGTCAGGGACCACTGCAGAGGCACATGCAGACCAGACATCCCAGCAAAGGGCAACTTTGGGTGTGCTGGTTGGAAGGAAGGACCGGCTGAGACAGACTAATCTCCTCTCAAAATCTGGGGCAGGGAGGGTGCTTGCTGGCTGACGCACAAATTAATATTTATAATTAAGTGGAAAGGCCCCTGAAGGCTTGCACTGCCACCTGACTGTACGAGGGAGACTACTTCATAATTAATACACTGGTCAAACGGCTCACAGAAAGTAAGTCACCTGATGAATTTACCCCATTCTTGCCCTTTCCTGCTTGTGAATCAATCCCTCCCTTCTCTGCAGGCATCATAAGGATGTGCTCTGGGCTCTGGGGTCCAAACACTGCTTGAGGCAGGGCTGGCAGGAGTGGTTGCACAGCAGAACACAGTGATCCTTCTTGGGGATACCAAGGGACAGGTAGACAAGTCCAAGTCCTGCCCTCAGCACAGTTCAGAGCAACCTCAAAGCCTCCATCATCTTTTCTTTCTAGGTTTCAGGGCCGTGACCCAAGTGGATTGCACTGCTGCAAAGCTGCTGGTCTCATCTTTCCAGGAAGCTTTGAGAGCCCTGAACTGGACATCAACATCTCCCTGCAAGGTGTGATGAGTGTGAGTGACAAAATCTGCCCTCACCAGCCTTTGATTTGAGGGACAAAACGACCCTGCAAGGCCACCTCTTACTGGAGAAGCCCCCAGGATCTAGGGGCACCCCCAACATCCCCTCTGCACCCTGCAAGATGTCCAAACCCCACGTATCCCTCCTGCCTCTAGCTGCTGCAATGCCTCTCAGTGGATGCAGGATTTGGCACAGGAGGAGATGCTGGTGAAACTGCATTTGCACATACAGGACCTGCTGGAAATGTAAAGTCATTGCTGGGAGGCTGAAGAGTTGGCCCCGCAAGTGAAATACAGAGCAAGGGACTATGTATCA